CTGTGAGAAAGGTATATTCACTCGACAAGCTCGCGTATCTGCGCCACCGTGCGCTCAATCCACTCAGCATGGTTTGTTTATCAGCTCACGCACATCAGCTATACAGGTGTTAATACTGAATGTTTAACGTTATATTCACTGCATACATATACTTCGTAGTAGACATCCTTAACTCCATTCTGTCTGTTGTTCTGTTGTCGGTGTTTCTTTGTCTGAATATGGCACTTATCACATGCAATGTGTGGTATCGGCGTTTGGTATCGGGGCATTTTAACGAGTACGAGTACAGGAGCTCAGTATCGGGCCCGATACCGATACCAGTATTGGTATCGGTGCATGCCTAGTAATTTACAACAGCTTCGAACGCGGCTCAACCAATCAGAATCAAGGACCGGAACTATCCGTTTTATAATTGCAGTTTTGAGAACTAAAGTCAGAATTGCGAGATGTAAACTCACAATTCTGACTTTTAAGAGTCTTAACGTAAACATAGATCGTTAAGACTGTAAAAAAAAAAGTTTCTATTTCACAATTCAGATTTTTTTTTTTCAGAATTGCAAGTTTATATAATGCAGTTCTGAGAAAAAAAGTCAGAATTTCGAGTTTATATCTTTCACATTGATTCATTTGTTTGTTTATGATTAGCCAACTAATAAGAGGGATAATTAAGAGTCTGTTTGGTTGTTATTACAAAGCTATGTCTTTTGCAGCTTATGTGGCTACCCTCCATTTTACGATGAAAATGACACCAAGCTGTTCGAGCAGATTCTCAGAGCAGAGTATGAGTTTGACTCTCCGTACTGGGACGACATCTCTGACTCAGGTAGATCTTCAGTCATGATAATATAATCATAATCCAGTACCATCATTTTGACAAGCTCTTGATTCAAATGACTGCACCAACTGAGCCCAACAGCAGGTTTTTAAAAATAAAAATACCATTAGTGATGGAACAATGTTAAACTGAGTTCATTCTTATATAATGCGACTTGTCTGTCAATAGTGAAGAAAAACCTTCTCAAAACTACTGATGAGCTCAATCCTGGGCATTTTCTTAATGCTTGAATATTGTTTGACAAACATATTATCGATCACATCCCGTCCTAGCCAAGGATTTCATCAGTCACTTGATGGAGAAAGAACCGACTCTGAGATACACATGTGAACAGGCTTTACAGCACCCATGGTAGGATTACCTAAAAAAAAAAAAAGTGTTATTTTTTTACTTAATCTATGATCATAATATCCTTCTCCTCTTTTCAACAAAATTGCATTAGTAACTCATCCCTCATCTCTAATTTTGAAGGATTTCTGGAGACACGGCTCTCGACAGGAACATTCATGAGTCTGTCAGCGCTCAGATCAAGAAGAACTTTGCCAAAAGTAAATGGAAGGTGAGAATCCCATCATTTTTTTCACATCTTGCATTTCTAGCCCAACAGTTTTTTTTTTTTTTTTTGGAATATTGGTTACTTGGTTTGCTAAGAATAAATTGCTATAAACCTGAGTTATGTTTGCGGCCTCTCACTATATGACTACACAAAACTATTGTTTAATTGCAGAAAATTAAAGGTCTTCACAGTAACCCATCAAAAAAAAGTTCTATTCAAGTTGAAGAAATTGTGACAGAAATATATTATTGTACTAAAGAATGTTTGTCTTAATGTAATACTACTACTACTAATAATAATACAATTAAATAATCACACAATTTTTCTTCCATGATTTTAACATTAAGCCTCTGTTGTGCAGCACTTTGTTTTGACAAAAATAGGAAAGGGTTTGTATAATATTCAGTTGATTAAAAGATAAATTAATGTTTTATGCCTTCATTTGATTACCAGAAAAATTAAAATACCCAACACATAATTTCTGAAAAAACAAAACATTATTGGGCCCAACTAAAAAGTTGTTTAATTAATTAGATAAAACCATTCAAATGGAATCCAGGAAAATTAAAATGGAAAACACAGAAATTGAGAAAATAACAATAATAATAATTATAATAAAATAGATTTCATAGGGCCCTAAATATGTATTTTTTTGTTAAACTTAATAATAATAATAATAAATTGCTGTTAAACTGTATAAGTTCCATGATTTCTTTTTTTGTTTGTTGTTGTTGATAAAATTTAACCCTTAAAAAGGGGTACAGAAAAATTTAAACTGGAAAAAAAATGTGATACAGAAAAGTTTAATGGAATAAAAATGGAATTTATAAAAAAAAATTAAAACAGGATTTGGGTAAAAATAAAATGGTTTTCATAGGGTCCTATATGTGACCCTGGACCACAAAACCAGTCAATTTTTTGAAATTGAGATTTATACACCATCTCAAAGCTGAATAAATAAGTTTTCCATTGAAGTATGGTTTGTTATGATAGGACAATATTTGGCCGAGATACAACTA